AACTCCACCAGCAATGTACTTCTGCCGAAGGCTCAGCTGGGCAGCCCTCCCTGGAAGGAGGGAAAAGCCTGTCTGGAAAGATACAAATGAGAGCAGGAAAAGCCCCAGTGCAAGCTGTACCGCTGTGTCTGTACTAGACATTTCTGGTTTCCCACCTGTGCTACCCAGTGATCCCCCCTTTTGCCTCAAGCCTTGAGCTGCAGAGCTGAGGCCTGAATCTGCAGCCGAGACCCAGATGGGCAGGGACCAGTGGTAGGGCCAGGGGTGGGCAGGGTGCTGGCCATCGCCCCGGACAGCAGCTCTCCAGGGGAGGGAGCCTGGCTGGCACAGCTGGGCCAAGCCTCCAGCCCACAAAGAGCCAAAAACCTTTTGACAGGCAAGGCTGGAGCTGCCGCAGTCTAAATATTGGGAAAGCAAACTACCCTGCGCACCTCGCCAAGACGTCAATGCCTGAACTTCGTGGCCACATTCAGGAGCATTAACCTGTTTCAGAAGTGATCAAAATGCCAGCTGGAGAAGCTGGCTATGCTGTGAAGGGCCTTCTGCAGGGCATCCTTAGCGCCAAAGATTTGAAACCTGCCCGGTGAGCCCAACGCCAACAATGGTCAAGATCCATCTCTGCCTCTGTACAAAAGAAAAATGTGATGGTCACCTACCAGGATAACTTGGCAGGGGAATATTCAGAAAACTTACTCTTGTTGTGTGGGAGCAGACAGACATGGTGTTAATTTTAGAGGATGACAAAGTCTAGCTGCCCTCTAAATTCCCTCTCAGCCATGCTCTTTGCCAGAGGAAAGAAACTGGTGGAAAAGGAAAGCGCTCTGGTGGGTCAGAGTATCTGCAAAGCTGCAAACCTTGAATCCCCCGAAGCCTCATTGTCACCCGTCATAGCATTGCCCGTTCTCCCTCTGGTTCATGGCATTGAGATTATTTTCCCCATGCAGCATGAGCTGCAGATTATTTTTAAAAATCAGCAAGTACCACCTTCTTCTTCTTCTTTTTTTTTTTTTTTAAATTTTTTTCCTTTCTGTTTTTCTTTTGGAAATAGCAGGAGTCGGATTTCCTTAGGGTAGTTTTTAGCACAGCTTACAGCTCTTCCAACACTCACACAGAAAGCAGGTAGAATCTTTAATTAAAACATCATTTCTCCCCAGTGTTCAGTAAACCCTCAGTGTTGTTAACCAAACATTTAACGGAGAGTCTTGAAAGGGATGGTTAAAAGTCCCTCTCTGACTCATGTCAGCTTTTACCATCGAGGAACATCTGATGACATGGGCTCTCTGTTTTAACACGGTGTCTCAGAAAGTAGGCAAGACTTGAGTTCCGAGTGTAAGGCACTCCTCTTAGACCTCTTCATCCATCACAGTGAAATGAAAAAGGTGAGACATATTTTTCCCCCTTTGCTGAGCACCTCTAAATACAGAGAACAACTAGGCTACTGTTATTTTTCATTGTCACTTTCCTCTCCCAGTGATTAGAATGCAGCTCACTTTTGGCAGCTGCCACTGAATCAGCCCCGCTATGTCCGAGCAGGATTAGCCCAGGGACAGACTCCGCACAGTCTTGGTTGTCTGTCTGCACCTCTTCTACCTGCAGGGTAGCCACCTAGACGTGATATGTGCCAGGGGATATGGGCACAATTCAAAATAGCTTTTGGCATCCCAGTTCCACTCTCAGAATGACTCGAGTGTCAGCGGGGGGCAGAGATCGGGCATGGGACACACCGTGAGCAGGGGAAGGAGCTGAAGCAGGTCTTGGATGGGGTGATGGCACCAGGGCACCCCAAGCCTTGTTGCTAAACAGCGGAGGGTGCCTGGCACAGTGACCGCATGGTGGGGTCAGGGGAGCTGCCTCTTTTTTATTTGCAAGGGCCCTCTTTTTCATTTTTAATGGTGCAGGTATCCCTGGGATGGAGCTCAGATTTTCCTATTGCTGGAATTACTGGCTAGCAAGGAGGTTGTTATGGAAAATAGCTGATAGCAAACCGAGCTGCTCCTTTTTCCTTCCGCCCTCTGCCAAAAGGGACTGTTTTCTGGAGGAAAATGGCCAGGATTCTTTTTAAAACGCTACAGCCAACATTTTCCAGGCTGTTTTTTGCATACCGAGACCCACATGAGTATACACGCTTATCAGGACGTCCAGTTGCCGGTGTGCATGTCTTCACAGAGATGCATGATTTACACATACAGATCCTCATGTCAAACGCTCCCGGTACAGCACCCCCCCTCTCCCCCCCAAGCAGATGTTTTACGCGGGAGCCCCCTTCTCTCCCCGCAGCCGGCC